CCACCATTGCCTGAAACATAGCAGAAGAAAAATAATTTCGTTAAAAGAACAAATGATAACCATGATAAATTATCATAACTATAACTTTCTCTTGTATGTGTCAAATAAATAATAACATTGGACTCTTATCTCGTGAAAAAAACTCTCGAATTAAAACTTCAAATATTTGCCCTTTAATTTATTGCTGATATCAACGCAAATTATGCTTGTCAGCAATTTTTATTGTTGATATTTTGTAAATATTTTACAAAAATATCCGATTAATTAAAATATTTTTTGATAATAAAAAATAAAAATTTTATTTATTTTTTGATAATAAAAAATAAAAATTGATAATAAAAATTAAAATAAAACAATATGTTCAAACATGGTTTACACACGCCTTTTAAAAAAAAGCGTAGAATGAAGTGCCCGAATATAGGGTGGTTTTTTAATTCCAGATAGGTATTTTTCTTGACTCCTAAATTCTGCACTCTGCAACTGACTCTTGTAACTAGTGAGGAAAGGTAAGGCTAGCCATTATGAGCCGGATCGCGCTGTTCATCACGCTGCTTTCGATTTTGTGTTTAGACGAAGAGAAATATTCTTCGGAATTTCCTGCGCAAATCCACTGTTTAATCAAGATAAAAGATTTTTAATAATCTTTATGTCAGAAAATAGTTTAAAGTATGCTGTTTTTATGTGTTATTTCAAAAATATTCCACTATCATTCAGAGTTAGGTAATGTTAGCGAACTAGCAGACAGATATTTATTCTTAATTCTGGATAGTAAAAGATTGCTCGATGTCGAGTAGTATTTTACTTTTAATTATGTTAATTCTTTTATTGTAATTAAATTTTTAATATTTTTGTTACTTAAATTTACTGTCTTTCTTAAAGTTGACTTTCTATTTCATTTTATATTCAAAACATATGTTTTAATTTTTCTCTAATTTTGCACAAATAATGTGTCTTTTCAAATTTGTAATTCAATTTTTTAGCAATAAATTCTTTTCTTTTTTTAAGAAATTAATTAGAATTAATTGTGTTAAAAGTTTATTTTATTTCTTATTCTTCCTATCCTTCCTTCCACTTTCTACTATCATACCCGGAATTAGGAACCCCTTTTACTCGAGATGAGAAAAATTGCCTTTCTGAAGATATAATTCTATAACTCCTCAAAATAAAAAGTTATTGCAAATTGCAACAAGGATGCAATAAAGTAACAGTATAAGGAGTGTATATTTTTTCAAAATTTTTAACAATTCTATTTGGTTAGAATTTAAACAAATATAAATGGTACCTAATAGAGTACTTTACCTCATTCGTATCGAGAATTTAAGTCCCAAAAATTGATCGAATTAGAATTCGATCAATAAAATAATCAAATAAAAAGTCTTAGCTCATTTTATTCTAATACATTGAATTCCAATCTGCAATTCGCAATTTCTTTAATTTCTAATGTATAGTGTGACATTGATCTCTCTAAACACATTTTTTCTGCACGCAGATTCTTTCGTCAATTTTAAGTAAAAAGATCTATTGTCTAAAAGAAGCGCAATAAAAAAATACTATTATAACGTACACAATATGTATGCTTTACTCTGCGATAATCTATATATTATAAAATAATATTACACGTTAAAAACACGATATTTGCACCAAGATTAGATATCCATACGTCTCGGTTTTAGCGGCAAGTCCTTTTTATCGAGTTGTCCTTGAGAATTTCTAAATTTTTCCGTTATATTCGCATATTTCTAGTTCGTCGTATTTCTGAATTCTTAATTAAAAATTTAGACGTATCTCTTCGAAGCTTGACCGAGCGTACGTTAAATCATTTTAATTTAGTTGATAAAAGTTTAGTTGATAAAGTGAAATAGTCGAGTTTAGTGATTTTTATACGTTTTGTCTGTTATTTCAATAAGAGTTTTTCCATTTTTGATTCAAAAATATGCATGCACCCACAGACGAATTAATATATCTCACATATGTGTATACTACCGTAGATATTAGCGCACACGCTTAAATTGATTATTTACACAGTTGTAAAAACAATGCACGCAAAATAAAATATTTAATAAACTAAACATGTTAACGCAAATGCAGATGACATAAGCATCCTTGTCTAGTTGTGAGTAATCCGATATCTAACTAAAAATAGATACTGAGATCAATCATGCAAAAGGACAATGATAACAGTCACATTGAATGATTATTAAACAGGTGCGAGTTTAACTGCAATACAATACGAGAAATATCGTGGATCTCTGGTGATAAAACAAGATATGTATAAGATCAATATGGCAATTACATGTAACAATTATAAAAAAAAACATACTGTTATATACAAGATGTATAGAACTTTGTATTGAACAATTGTTCTAAATTACTCTTTTAACACCAATTTTTATTTATTTATTTTCACTCTACATTCAATCTCTAGTTTTTTACTAGAGAATTTTCCAATATTATTCAAATTGTTTTCATGATTATTCTCCTCTAAACAATAATAACAATAATATGATTTCTATAAGATAACTTTTTCTCTCTTTTGATGTCTATAGAAATGTTCAAAAATAAAAATACTTTTAGTAATAATAATAATAATAGAAATAATAGAAATAATAAAAGCAACATTAAAACATTATTAATATAATAATTATTTTCCATTTTTAATTCTTCATATTCTATAGCAAAAATATATTTATATATAAGAACATAACTATATTTTTGTAATAAGAAAAGTGTTCATATTTTTGCTTTATACCGTTTCGTGCAGTTTTATATTTATTAGATGTTGTTATTTAAATGTATGCACCTAAAAGTATTTATAAAAATTTTCCTGTCGTATTTAATAAATATTTATGAAATCTATCACTTACGATTCTTTATATATAATACTAATAATGAAAACAAGAACTTCATCAAAAATCAATATATCTTTTTTGTCAGAGATTCATCAAAAGTAGCCACTAGGCGCTGGTGCGATTGAACAACTTAGTGGGAGTTAGTAGTGCAAAAATGAATGTGTGTAGAGTCCCGTCGGTGTAAACATGGAGAAAGAGAGTGGGACGGACGGAGTTGCGCGGCGTACGTGACTGACTGCACTTCGCGCCTCTCGTACCCATTCTCCTTCTCCTTTCGGCACAATGCTCCCTCGCAAAAGATCAGCGCATTTTTGGAATCCTGACCTTGTTCTATCATGTTCACCTCAGCGTGTCATCGTAACATTTGCGCTCCTAAAAACTGTATAGTTTATTTTGTGTTTGATGCATGTTATTAACATGTTCCACTTTGTAAATCATGATTGAACTATACAAGTATAAAAAAAGTTTATTTTGTTTATCAGTGAAAATTCCTGTCACGTGAATATTGGATACACAGCTATCTCACACATTGCTGCTTGTTTAATTAAAATATATAAAAAAGTATGATAAGCAATCGTATTGTCAACCACAGCAATTAAAAATTTAACATTTATTTAAATTGCATTTTGTGTGTGCATGTGATTTGTATATTAAGCTTATATAATACTAATCTACTATCGAAAAGATAAGAAATTTTTCTCCACTTATTTCAGTCTACATTTACAATATTCTCAACTTTATAAAAAATACTTTTTTACCATAAAAATATTTTACTTATTTTCATAAATAGAAGAGTAGTTTCAGCAATGAGGCAATATATCCATCACCCATTAACATTCACACTTTAATTAAATTTTTCAAATTATGATAATTAAAATTACAACATTATTTCAGTCAATTTTTAATAATTATCGTGGTTTCAGAAAGTCAATCATAGTAAGTCTATCATATCAATAAATATTAGTAGGTACAAAATATACCTCATGATTAAAACTATCCCCCTTCTCCTTAATATATGTATATTTGAGACTTAAAAACAGCAATGAATAAAAAAACTTCAATTTTAGAACATTAGTACTTTAAGATGCACACACCATACTTGTCCATTAATTGAAGTTAATTATCAAACTCTGAATACATACACATGCATTATGCATATGTTTAATAAAATATATATAAAACATTTATTTATAATTTTATGCAAGTAAATATTAATATTTAGATTAAAATAAATCCTTTCTCATTTTATATTATATATCTTTTTATATAGATTTTCCATATATAATTAATATAAGAAATACAATGTACTTACTTTTGTTCTTCCAGTGATTGTATAATTTCCTATTTTCCCATTGTCGTGCATCTTATTGGCTCTCATAATGATTGCATCAACCTGTGATATCAGCATGCCAATATTTTGACATTGTTGCTCTTTTCCATCCAGCCATATTATTTGATCACCACGAATTGTTTTTAAGTCATTTGCACTAGCTTTATTAGAAACCAATTGTCCATCTTTAAACAGTCCAGCACTGTACATGTCTAAAACTTCCTTTAGCACCGCAAGACCTTTTTCTTTGCCTAAAAACTTGTCCACCACGCACACACCATACTTATCCATATCCCTAATCACATATTGGCAAATTTTATCTATGAATTCTTCGAGATTATTTCTATTTCTATGTAAAAAGGGGGGTAAAAGCTCCTCCTCCTGACCCAACCGAACTTCTGGGAAGTTTTTCATGCCGTTATGATGTTGCACCAACAAACAGAGATCTGTATTATTTAAACTATTGAAGATTCTGGAGCTTTCTAAAGCAGGATTTAGAAGCTCATCACAAGCCTCTAATATAGTATCCTCTGAGCTTCCTTCATATGTTATAGGTGAAGTCCAACCATCTGCTTTGCTGTTACGTGAGTTCCTATTCTTTCCACTTGGTTTTTTCTTAAGATTCTGATTTTCCTTTCGTTCTTGTTGACTCGATTTGTTTTCCCCTTGTGTCACAGAATCTACAATCAAGTATACAAATTGTTAAACTCATTGAAAGTTTACAAATAATAATAAAGCATAAGAAAACTTTTGGTTTTTGTTCGAAAATACATCTGTATATATCGTAGTTTAAGAAATAGCAGTTGTTTCAGTAGTTGCAATTCGTGAACATCTAACAATAAGAGTGTAATCAGAGCCTGCTATTTATATCGCAAAAGTTATCAGTAATGGAACTCGCTTATTACTGCGCAATACTGCAAAAATATGTTTAAGGATGAACGTCTTAGTAGGATAAAAATAAAAATATACCTGTGAAATGTTTCGTGTTTCGATATGATTCTGCGGTGACGTTCGTCGCCCACGATGCATCCGCGACAGGGATGTTGTTTAGGTTAGAGACTCGCGCTCTCGGAGTTCTACGATTGCCGACGGAGTGATGTTGCTTGGACGGTACGTCGCGATTAAAATTTCTGTTCGCAATTGGGAACGTCTGTTTGTCCACGGGTGCATCACGCGCGGGGTGAGTCGTGCAGAATTCCTTGTGACGTTCCCAGTCACGTCTCTGATGGTCCTTCGTACAGTAGTACACTGCCTTGCAATGCGAGCACCTTAGCAGCTTGTCAGTCTTGTTGCAGACCGCGCAAATCACCTGCACGTTCGTCTCAACAGTGTCGCCGAGTGACTGCGTATGACTAACTATCGGACTCGACATTGTTTTACGCGTTTTACTTGGCCATCACGTCGGACGCCGACGACATTTCTTCGACAAGGAAAGTCGACAACATACCGCGCCGCCCGCTTGGCCGAACACTACTCCGTTCCACCTTCGCACTCACCCGGTAATCACTGCGAAATCCCGCTTCAATCTTTGACTCCGATTCGCATTCGTACCGTTAGCGGCGCTGCTATCACTGTCTGCATCCAGCAGTGTTGCGATATGGGACCGGTTGTATGCGCATGTGCG